CAGCTTGCGTCAATCCAAGGATGAGGTTGGAGTGGCAAAGGATGAGGCTGAAGAGGCGAAGCTCGAGCTCGAGCAAAAGACCAAAGAGTTTGAAGCCGGGGTTGCTACTGCTCGAGTTGAAGCAGTCGAGGGCTTCAAGAAGTCTGATGAGTTCGCCGTTATGAAAGGGGACTACACACTGGGCTCATACAATTTTGCATTCAAACAAGCCCGAGCTTTCCTGAGGGCTAGGCTTCTCGACGTTATTCCCGAACAACTGCAGGGTGTTCCCGAGATCACTGATTCCCTCGAGCTATCTGCTTCTGAAGAAACCATCATCGAGGAAGATGTGGACGTCGAGGGGGAGGATGCTGTCGATATGCCCGACGACAATCATTGATCGGATTTCCCCCTTTTTTCCTTGTCTTTGGTTCTGAACAACTCAAGTGTATCCCCCGAACTTGTTACAACGAATGTTTCTGTTTTTGGAGCGCAATGCTCGATTATATTTGGTATTGCATTGTTATTTTGATTCTATAAATGCTTGCTGTTCATCGAATGGATTTTATGATCGATTAAAAACTCGAGGACCTTATTTCAAATGTTAACAAAGTAGCAATTCGAGGCTTTTAGAGATCGAGCAGCTTAATATCAAGTAATTTCACAATGTTGGTAGCTCGAGGAGCATCAGGCTTTTAAGCTCGAGCAACTTAATATCAAACAATTTCAGTTAGTAGCTCGAGGATCTCTAGGCTTTGAAGTTCGAGCAACTTAAAATCTGACAATTTCAGTTAGTAGCTCTAGGAGCTCTAGGCTTTGAAGCTTGAGCAACTTAAAATCTGACAATTTCGGTTAGTAGCTCGAAGAGCTCTAGGCTATTAAGCTCGAGCAACTTAATAACACACAATTTCAGTTAGTAGCTCAAGGAGCTCTAGGCTTTGAAGCTCGAGCAAATTAATATCAAAGCTTTGAGCTGCTTGCTCGGGATCAAGGCTTTGGGATGCTTGCTGGGAAGCAAGGCTTGGAGGTGCTTTCTCGGAAGCAAGGCTTTGGGATGCT